CCGTATGCTTGTAAGCCATTTTTAAGAGTATAGCGTATTAGGGCACCCTTCATATCACATTTTATTCGCAACCATGGTTTCACTTGTAGACGGAATTCTCAACCATTATGAAAGAAAAGGAACCTCTTCGTGGACAAAATTCGCCATTAAGTTCCGCATGATTCTATTGCAACTACAGTTTAATAGTGCCCACTCCGCCACCATTCATTTTTGTAAATGAGCAAGGTACCCATCGCGCCTCAGTTAGGTAACACGTGCACCTATGTAGGTGCAAACCCAGTTGATCATGTGGCTGTTGATCATTATGCATTCTGACTGAGCTCATTGAGATCATTTGACAGCTTTCAATCACCCACTTGCGACGCAGTTTAACACGCTTCCTCACACTAGGTGACGTCTGTATATTGTTTTCTGCGAAAATAGTTTCGAGCAATGATTTGGATGTTCAGTGAGACACCTGTTTGTCACGCAGAAGGCCTGTGTTCGATGTTGTTTACACACAGTAGTATAGTATGTTACCTTATAAAACCAAATTCAAAAGTCCACTCACTGCATGATGAGTTTTTCGTAGCGAGTAAGAATGATGCTTTGAGATTATGCAAGTATAAAATGTGGCTCGGTCACATAGTTTTCGTCATCTGAATTGACAGCATGTTTCCACTAAAATAAAACGCCATGTACCAATATAGCTATCTTTTTTTTGCGCCTATGTGTTTCGCAATACCTAGCGCTCTTTATAAGGTGCACCCCGTGCTTGTTGCCCGAACGCAGTCATCCTTGCAACTTTTTCTTCTTTCTACTTTTTTTCATAGGCATTCATTCTATTTTTATACAATTGCTGCACATTGTACCCCTCTATCTCCGTCGATTAAAGTAGATCGTAAAGATGTCTTGGACAGGAAACAGTTGTTAGGTAAAGTTTTGTTCAACTGATGTGAACGATAAAACTTACAACATCTCCACAGAGTAAATGATGATTACTGGGGCGAACGAAGCATCCGTTCATCCATCCGTCCTTCTGTTCGTCCGTCTGTCTGTCCGTGCATCCGTACGGACGTTCATCCTTCCATGCGTTCATCCGTCTAATTGTGCTTCTGTAAGTCTGTCCGTCTGTGCATCCATGCGCCCATTCATCTGTCTGTCTGTATATCTGTCTGCCGGTCCATGCGTCTGTCTGTCCATCCGTCTGTGTGTCCCTGTATCCAGCCGTCCGTTCATCAAGTGAATAATGCTCCAAGTACCGCCATCACACATCTTTTCATCATTTATTTGTCATGTACAAGTATACCTACCCAGCGGATATTCAAGGAACAAACAAAAGGTGGCTACTACGAGTACGACACGGGACACTCGACCCATGGCGTAAGGAGCTTCTTTTCTAGAAAAGCTTTGTTTACACCTGTAGCTCCATTAAATGGTAGTGCTAAAGCGAAACGTCTCTGACCTTGACACTTTGAGGCCCGAGGAACCGCAACAAGAAATTTGATAGCATGTGGTACACGCTGGGCCTCTCGAGCTAAGACTATGTCCTGAAACGTTCACACTGTCTTGCTGCCAAGGAAAATGCCAGCCGGTTGACCTCCCAAAATAACACCTAATAACACGAACAGAGCTAAGCAAAAGCTACATTATACAGCCGTGATGGCACACGCACAGCGCCTTCACTTCGTCTAGGTAAGCTAAACCCTTCCAGCACGCACAGCGGTCCGTCTGACTGTCCCGGCCGCACCTCGGCTGCGTTTTTGAAGTCCGTGAGTAGGACACGCGCATCACTGGTTCGCAGCACGTGTCACACAAGGCGCGCGGCAGTCGTGGCTCCCACACACTCTCCTCTTGAAAAAAGGGGCTTCATTCACATGGTTACCGTCATCACCTCCCATGATGACGTTCTTCACTTCGGGTGCCACCGATGCAGTCTTTGAATCTGACGTCGGCCTTACAAGCGATGCCCTCCTTGCCCGTGATGTTCTCACTGTCACCGGACTCGATAGCTTGATGTAACCTTTGTTCTTCGAAGAAGCGGTGGTTTCCTTAGCTTTTACCATGGCAAATAGAACTCCATCCTGTAATTTGCGCAGGAAGCCACAGAGCTTATGTCCACACAACAGCGCCTCGCTGTCGGCCGCTCACGTGTTGTTGGACAGGCCGTTTAGCAGGGGCTTGTAGGTGAACTCACTGTCCGCGGTTTTGGTTGTCATCATTACCGTGACCTTGCCATCAAGCTTTGAATTAGGAGTAGTGGTCTTATTGGACTGATCTCTGCGGCTTGCAGGGGTGCCTTTTATGGCCTCCGCCGCAACTTCTGCTGCAACTTTACCCGTGGTATGCGTCTTTGCAACGACGTCCGCACTAGGTGTAGGCGTGCGAGTAGTACTGGCTTTCGCAGCAGCGACTTGGTGCTCATCGCTGATGTCCTCATCCAAGTCCTGGTTTAACAATAGCGTACACGGGCAAGATTGTCTCAGCCCCGCAATTTTCGTCTAAAGCCCCACAAGTCGTCAAAGTTTCTATGACGTTTACTTCGTCGTCCTCGTTATCACCGCCAGTTTCATCGCTGTGCCCACTAGGGTCGACTTCACCCTAGTGCCGCTTCTCGCTTGGTCGGCCTGTTCCAGCTTGCCTTCGCCGAGCACTTTCTGCTCTTGGTCCTGTGCCGGCATGCCCGTTCGCTCAGGCAGAAATGTCACCCATCGTCCCCCAGCCATGGTCGGGACCGTAATTCCTTTCGCTTCAATGTATACGCCGTAGTCATTTCGTCCATCCGTTAGAAAGCCTCCCGGAACCCTTACATTTTTGCTTCCATATCACTGGTAGGAGACACGCATTGGCCGCCAGATGAAGGGTTCATGCCTTCTTGCGGCCAAAGAAATGATGCCAGTCAGTTGAACTCCGAAAATAAACATTTATTAACACTAACAGAATTACGCAAAAGTTACACAATACAGCAGTGCAGGCACACGCACTGCCCCCATGGCTTTCACCCCACCGGGGCACACCCTTCCCGCGTGCACAGCAGTCTGTTGCTACCTGTACTGACCGCGCCTCGGCTGTCGCTTTTAGTGCCCACGAGTACGACACACTGGTGCGCAGCACTTCACACGCAAGTCGCGCGATTAGCGTGATCGATGCAGACCCCAGCATAAAAATATTCGGATCAGCAATGTTCCTTTAGTACATTCTGAACAACCTGGATGTGTAGAACTGTTAAAGGTATTTGTTTAAGTGCTTGCTGAAACATTTACAGCGTTGAGCATAGGCCACATTTGCGTCCATATCAGGCGAATCAAATTCGACAAATAACTCCTGGGGCATGCAGACCAAGCTTGCATTGGTTATATCGTGGCAAGGTAGGTAAGTTGAGAAATAGCGCACTCTCAGAGAAGTGTACCTGTAATACTTGTGTATGCCAATTGGTTCAGCCGAGCTCTAGTTTAAAGCATTTGATTGATATGTAGGGTTTAACGTCTCAAAACCACCATATGATTATGAAAGATGCCGTAGTGGAGAGCTCCAGAAATTTTGACCACCTGGGGTTCTTTAACGTACACACAAATCTGAGTACACCTCTAGTTTAAAGCAAACGTATTGAAAGTCTTTGCTGAGCAGGATACATCAGCATGTGCCGTGGTGGACTGTTCAGTTGAGGGCCAAGAGTATAAGAAAGGTTCGGTTTAAACATCGCTATCATTGTCGCTTTGTGAACCAACCGATGAGAGATCCCAGACAGCTATATTAACCCATATTGTGTGTTGATTGATGACGATAAAATGATTCGACATGATGGCTGCGGAGTGGTGTCTAGCAGGGAGATCTTGTTGGAATTCAAAACAGGGTCACATGGTGCCAGATTCAGATTTGATGTAAAGCATATTGGCACTGCCGCGTGGATAGGGTGCCTCATTAGTTGAAAAATTCTTGTAAGCAGAAGAAGAATATTTGCATGTGTCTCTCTCTCAAGTTCTCAGTCAATTCAAAGCAGCTGTCGCATTACCACCGATGCCACCAGTGTGCGAATGTGTCTTCAGGAGTACTCAATGTGGCCGGTACGACCCCACCAGAACTGTGCGAGGGTTGCCTAGGGGCCACAACGTACTCATCTTGAGTGAAACCAAATGGAGTTGAATAGCACAGCATCGAATGTGTCCAAGACCTTAAGAGTGACCACGTTAAGCACTATTTCAAATAGAAATCATATGCTTCAATATGGGATACGCCGATCTCATCGAGTCGTCACACTGCAATCCCAAGGGCGAAGAGTAGTCTTGATGTACTTATTTAGAGATGTAGAACTGCATGAAGTGGGAGCAAATCCTCATGTGGAAAAGGCACTTGCGCTGGTTGCAGGTTCGGAAAGCTAGGGCATGTTTCACTGGTGCACTTTAACTTTGGTATATCGGACCACGTCCCAAGAGAAAGTGTAGCGCGCGTTGTAACAACCTTTGTGTTGGTGTAGTTCGTAAACTACTACGTGCGTGGTGTCCGACCAGAGTATAACCGAATGCCTGGAAGCATGATGACACTGACATGGAAAACAGTACGAATACCAACAGAGTACCGGCGCACATACAACCATTCGTAGCACTGTTGAATCAACTAGCTGACAAGTTGACACTAAGTTCTTGAGTATTGCTTCGCTATACAATTACAGCAGCGTGTACCTTGTTCGCTTGGCGTCACTCAGTGATCGTGGGGAGCAGTTCAGTTCCAGTCTCCTCACTTTTAGGGCTTCAACTAAAAGTGCTTCATGAACAATGGCAGGACGACTGAGCCACGCAATGGTCTGGCTTAAGACATCACAAACGCTTAGTTTGAATGATTTTAAGGCTGTGGCGTCAGGTTGAGAGGCACAATGGTCTTCATAAAGCGTGAACTATTAGTGCGGGACCACCGATATTCAAGATAGAACTCCCCTTATTGTTTTCAGAATAAGATTGCTTTAATCACGGTGTCAGTGGGTCAGCATAGTGATTATTTTATCTATTTCAGGGACGACCACTTACCATTGACGAGCGTATTAATGTGTGTGTCGTTGACTGCCATCGCCAGGTTGCCACTAGAAAAACAAAGCAAACTTTTTGTCCCACACAAAAGTGCAATATCCTCAACTAAACACAGGCAAAAAACATTCTCTCGAAATACCTGTATTGTCGTGTACCTTAATCGATGCGAATTGTTTGTCTAGGATCTTGAACATTACGCTGTGAAGCTGCAAAAATACTAGCTAAAAAGTCTTGGTGGAGCGACGAGCAAGCAAAGCAAACGCATAACGTCACTCGCTCAGAGCTTGGGCGAAATGTGTTTCGAAGGAGGGAGGGGGGAGGGTTGGCTCGGCAGAGGTGTGACTGCGAACGCCGTCAGTGCTGTCTTCGACCTTCTTCCTTCCGTTTTTAAAGACGATAGTCTTTCTTGGGGACCTTCGACGCAAAAATTTTGGTCTGTTTGCCAGTCTTTCTGTACATTTGTCTGTTTGTCCACACTTAACGGCACCGGGTACCTGAAATGGTCGACCCCCCCCCGCAGCGCCCACCAATGTTGCTCGAGATTCAGCATTCATACATGTGCAATTGTCAGTTAATAAGCAATTACTGCACAAGTCTCTGCAAGACCATAACAACACGTATGTATTCTGCATGTGCATCTTTTACTAGAAAATGCATACATAAGTAACTTTAAGGACCGTAGCGCTTATCACGCTGCGCTGACCATGCAACGATTGCATGAAAAGGTGAGTGTTTCCAACGCTTTCTAAGACGCGATGGTGGTGGCACCTACCGGTCGCCTTGCGTTCCTCACCTTATCACCTCTGAGACGGGCGCGCACACCCGTCTCAGAGCCACGTGCTTCATTTTTTCGTTTTGAAAAAAGACTGCCAGGTGGCGCCCATGTCTCACGAGTGACGAGACGATGCGCTCGTTCGCCTTTGCTGCACGCTCGAGGCACTCTAACGCAGTGGCCCCAAAAGACCATTCCCCAATTTTCTTGCGCAGAACATCAAATAAATATCTTGTTCACTCTCTCCACACGCAAGACTATCGTCTTTCGACGACATTTGCAGATTACATGCAGATACGTGGCCAATTTTTGTTTAAATTGTTTGCACAAAAGAAGAAGCTGCCATGAACTAAACCACTAATAATAATAATAATAATAATAATAATAATAATAATAATAATAATAATAATAATAATAATAATAATAATAATAATAATAATAATAATAATAATAATAATAATGATGATGATGATGATGATGATGATGATCGGAATTCACGGAGCCCTCTAATACACCGTCTGTCCTATTATTATGGTGGTTTTGGGACGTTAAACTCCAATAAATAATAATTATTATGAGCCCATAAAAAGGTTCACATGGGTGAAAAGAGAGGCCGCTCACCAGAATCGCGGTGCGCTGCCAAGCGAGACTGCTGGTCTCTACTCGTTAAATGTAGCCCATGACGTAGTACGGCGGTAACAGCTAGACACGACTGTTCTGTACTTGAATACAACTTGACATCACTTGGTGACACTTTATACAAAGTATCATAATTTTGCATCAGGTCGTATAACTTTGCATCACTTCGTACGACTATACCCATTTATGAACAAATCAGCTCACTTCTACTTTCAGCGTTTCAGCATTTCCTATGCAGCAAGAAAGGCTGAACTATTTTGAAAAGCACTCAGAAGACACTTATAATCCTGTGCTGAAGAATGCACCTACCTCAGTAGCTGCAAAGCAAGGTCACAATGTGTAAACTGGCATGAGTTCATCAGGTTAACGGTAGCGTCTCGGGCACTAAATATGTCGGTTGCGCATATACACTCGGAGCTGAGTATGTCGACTGTCAGCCCACAAATAGTTCTGCCAGCGATATCTTGATCCTGAGAGAACAAAGCATGAAAAACTAAATAAGTGAACAAAAAAAAAAACTTCCTTTCTAGCGGTAAACGCTAGAGCTACGTTATGTTAGCGTGATAGCGTTGAAGAGCTCATTTCACAGAATGCCGGCGTGCGTGTCATTGGTTGGGAGTGAAGAATGACCTCGCTCGTCAACGAAAAATTGTGCCATGCGAATCAAACGAATAATTCAAATTCAATTGCAGTAAAGATCAAACCCAAGCCATCTGCACGGCAAGAAGTTGTACCGCATAGCCACAATAAATAAAAAAAAACAATACGTGAATATTATGTTGTGGAAGGAATGTCCTTTTCGCAGCATATATTGCGTGGCAGAAGCGTAAAATCTTGTCAGGCTTCAAAAAGAAGTGAATTGAGCAACGAGTGAGTGCTTTGATGCCAACCCAACACAAATAAGCGCTCCGAAGTATTTAATAGTTACCAGCAACAGACGCATCAACAAGGGTTACAGTTGCGTAGGTTCTGGCGTTGCCCTACGGACGTGTAATAAGTGCTTCACTGACTCACTAAAGCAATAAATACGGCATATTGCCCGCTTAACTGCGCTTGCAATAGGCATTCAAAGGAACGTTGAAACGGCCAATATTCCATGCAAAGTCGTTGATTTTATAACGCCACGGTAGAGGCATGCACGGATTAGCGAAGCAGGCTAGCTGTTCTGAAGGAAATGTAGTACTTGAGTCCCGATTGCGCTTCCATAATCTGCTGCCCCGCCGTAGTGGTTTAGTGGCTAAGGTACTCAGCATGCTGACCTGCAGGTCGCGGGATCGAATCGTGGCTGTGGTGGCTGCACTTTGGATGAAGGCGAAAATGCTGTAGGCCCGAATGTAAATATTCGACAGAAGTCTGTCTGGTTGGGTATAAAACTGGGAAATGATGCAGACTCCAACTAATTATTCAATTATCCACCCCGCGAGTGCTTTGAAGACGCCGCTGCTACGTAGCCCCGCAGTAACCACTGAGGAAGGAACCAAGTCAGTTTCGAAACGTCGGGATTCTTAAAAACTTTTGGTTGAAGCCTAAATCATCTCAAGGCTGTAGGCCCGTGTGGTCAGATTTCGGTGCAAGAACCCCGGGTGGTCGAACTCTCTGGAGTCATCCACTACGGCATCTCTCATATTGATGTGGTGGTTTTGGGACATTAAACCCCGCATATCAATATGACTGACAGCAAGCTGGTAAGATTGTGAAAGCACTACGTACTGCGCCGGCAGCTTAATGTAGTGGAGGCATGACTTACACGCAGATTCAGATCACACAAAAGCAGCGATTAGATCACGTTCATTCAAAAGAAAAACTGTTTCCGTTGTACGGTGGTTGGCCCATCCCAGGGCTGCAGATGACTGTCTTGCTGCGAAGCATAAGCTTTAAAAGAGTGTGTTGTGGTGCTCGTCGGTCCATAATCGTCAGAATAGGAGCGAAAACAAACAGATGAAACAGTCGGAGACAAGAACAAGCCATTTTGCGGTAGTTTAAAGACTGAGCAAGAAGCCATGATTGTAAGGCAAGAATGCCGGTTTAAGGGAAAACGGGGGCAACCCGCCGGTGTAGTCTGAGGAGCACATCTGTCTTGCAAAGTGACGGTAATGGGCCGACAGCTCCTAGAATGTAGTGGAAGGCGATCATTACATAGGCTTCTAGTATCTGGTCTGAAATTGGGGTGGTAGAGGGTGTTTTGAGACAACATAGTGAGTTTTGTAACACAGCATTGTGAGCTCACTAGGTGGATACCTAGACGAAATCCTCCCTAGTTGCAGTGGGCGCCAAACGCAAGACAACGAACAAGAGAAGGAAAACGATCGATTGTCTTTTCCGAGATCGTGTGTTTGTACTCCGTGTGATTATGACTGAGTGGAGGAACGAAAGCAACAGTTGGTGTTCAAGATAGGCTTGTTTTGTGTCATTGTGAAACCGAGCCTCTTGTGTACGTGAAGGTCAAACTTCTAGGCTTTCCCTGAACGCGAAGTCCCACGAAAGTGCTTTTTGTTCATCGACTGATACGAGCGGTTTAACGTCTCAAAACCACCATATGATTTTGAGAGACGCCGTAGAGAAGGGCTCCAGAAATTTCGACCACCTTGGGTTCTTTAACGTGCACCCAAATCTGAGCAGACGGTCCTACAGCATTTCCGCCTCCATCATAAATGCAGCCGCTGCAGCCGGGATTCGATCCCGCGACCTGTGGGTCAGCAGCCGAGTACCTCAGCCACTAGACCACCGCAGCGGGCGAAAGTGCTTTGCGTAGATAAAAGACACAGAATGATTTTAAAGTGGCGTGGAAAAAAGGAGAGTGTAGCTATGTCCCTTGTCAGAAAACTGAACACATGCTGTCTTCGGGCGATAAGTGGTAGTGTGGGTCGAACCTGGCCACGCCAAGAATCAATCGTGGATTTCGATCGCTGAATGATAGAGAATATGGGCTACTTTCTCTTCAAATTCATTGTTAATCGCTGTTGAGAACCACAGTAGTATTAGTACCACCTTTTTCACCACTTGCTGTTGGGCCAGTCTGACGGCCTGCGACGCCATTTGCTCGACGACACTGTTGCTTTCTGTATGGTAGGCCGTGGTGTTTTGAAAGCACGCGCGAAGCAGTCTCACCTGCTCATACTAAAGCTAGATTTGGAAGTGCTGGCCTTGGTAAATGTTTTTCCGATGAGCACAACCGCAACATGACACTCTCGTCACAACACATGTTTCGGGCACTGGTTGACTCATGCGTCTAGTACAGGGGCAACCTCAGGCCATCTTCAATACGAGTCGACACATGGGACAATACACTTGAATACTTGGAACAGCGTAAAAGTAGTATAGGCCAAGAAACTGGGGCACATACGAACGCTGCGAACTTGGCCAAGAACCAGACAGTTTTTAATAGACATTTCTTGAAATCAGTTTCAAATTTTCTTTACTCAAGATGAAAGAAGTAAAATTGAAGCAAGAAAATTCAGAATAAGAAACAATGTGCAAAAATAATATAGATGAATTGAAGCGGAGAAGTTGAATAATAAAGAAGGCGTTTTGGAAAAAAAATTTCATAAGCTGATTTTTAACATATACAAAAATATGGCAAGCAATCAACAATATTCGTTTCTCTGTAAACAAAGAACAAGGCGCTAAAAAGGTAGAGTTGGTGGAATCAAATGCAATCTAAAGAGCCGTTCTACTGACCCTAAACGCATGTGGTCAAACGACTGTACGACCGAACAAGTATGCGAGGAAATGAATAAAATGGAAGTATTAGAAATATGAATGCCAAAGAGCGCATCGAGTTGTATAGGGAAGGCATAAAGATACTCACCCCTGTGAGATAATACAGAGGTACTCTGTATCATCTCGCAAAAGGGTGAAGCTTTAAAAATATCTTCTAAAAGTTTGTTGTACAAAATTTGTGAAAACAGATACGTCTATATCATTTTCGTGAAACATTAAGGATATAGGCACCTACGCAAGCTTACATGGCTGTGAGAGGGAGATAATTTAAACCACCACAGCCCTTTAACATTTTCTCAAGACCGTGAACTGTAGTCTAAGTACACAATCAATTTGCCTATAACTTTTGCTAAAAGCACGAGCATGTTACTACCGCCGTAAAAGAGGCACCATTGTATTGTTTATTAATTAAAAAAATTACGCTCTCAGTGAAAGGAGAATGCACAAGGGCAAAGAAGTACATGAAGCGTCCCACTTTGAAACAGCTCACCTGAGGTGTCAGTATGCCATTAAGCTGGAAGTTTATCCCTGGATCAGTCATGTCTGTGAAGACAAGGCTAACCTGAGTGAAAAAAAATATTCAGAGAGATCACCCAACGCTACAGACTGAACAGATGAGAATACCCACCGCCACACGAAAAACTAAACAAAAAACAGGAGGTTGTCTGGAGACTATTACAGACTCACACGTACCCGAACCCAGTGATCCTGCGCCTCTGTTACCCAGACATTTATACATCCGACGACTGTAAAGCGTGTGGAGCAATAGCGACACTGCAGTAAACGCTGTGAGAGTGCACCGGAAGGGTGCAGCAGTCCCTTATGAACCGGGCAGACATGGCAGTCTCGAACCGCGAGGCGCGATGGAAGGTGGCTCTGCTCAGCCGCGATCTCGCCTATCAACTGTGGAGAGTCCGGCACGCCCAGGAAACCGCCCGTGTCCAAGGACTCGAGGCCGTCAGCTAGGCTGGAGTGCTTGTCGACCCTCCCCACTAAATACCACCGGACAATGTCAATAAAGTTTTTACTCACTCACTGGCCAGTAAAAAGTCCCTCGGCAAACCCCGCGTCATTCTTGAAGGTTAGGAACGCTAAGTCAGTATCACTTATATGAATGGACAACTTTAATATCACTACAGATGATGCGACAGACACATGAATGCACTGGTGTCAAAGGTGAGAGTCAGAATCTTGGAGCGCCAAAAATTTAGCTACGAGAGAGTTTCCTGACTATTATGTTAGTGTATTACGCAAAATATCAACTCAGCTGCATGCGTGCTTTCATTTTACCGCCTCTAGAAGAAAATTTTTCAGACATATACGTATGGGGGGGGGGGAGGAAAAAACGCATACATCATGGTGCGCTGTTTACACCTGTCTCTGAACGCACGGGGAAGAACAACCTGAAGTAGGCCTCTCCCACTCCCTTAGGCCACTCTAGGATGGCGTCCTGAATTTCAGGCCTCCACCTGCGTGAAGCAGACCGTACTTCTCCCAAGAAATTATGTTTTTTCGGGAGTATGAGAAGACAATGCGGAGGGTACCCCAAATCAAAATTACTTGATTGAAATCTCCTACGAAAAAAAAAGAACCAAAAGCTCACCAAATATTTGCGCCTTGCGCGAATAGTTCACATGTTCCTTTTGGTGACACCACATATGCACAGACTGTAATTGAACTCGTTGCCTACATCTCGTGGCATAGACCTATCCCTTGTTGGCACTGCAGCACTGATCGGTCCTTTAAGTTTGACTAAAGATTGCCACTGCGGTGCTGCCTAATAGAATACACTCTACCAGTTCAGTGAGTTTGTAGCTTTTTTTCACATTTTGTTAATGTACGTGTAAGACTTCTGAATATGTAACTTCTTTCAAGTGAGTGAATCACTCATGCTGTCCCTGTACAATTCTAGGTACTGGAGTAATATCCGCAATGGTGGGGAAGTCCCAGTTCCTAGGTTGTAGTACAGCAGAAGTGGTGCCACAAGTGTAAGCACTATGCAATTGCATCTACTAAATTTCAAGAATGACATGATCACTAGACAATAAAGGAGAAGATTACCTTGATTAGGTGCTATTCTTCAATACATGATGCTTCTTGTCGCTAGGAAGACATCTTATGGGCTCTTTATACGCCGCTTTACAACTCCTGCATTCCTTTACGGAAGTACTCTTGCCCGACAGAGTGGAGATCATTCATTGCAATACATAGTATGTGAGAAATTGAGTGGAAATGCTAGTCATCGAAGCTGCTAACGCTGCCTTTGTAGCCGGATTGCATGCGTGGAATAGTTACTCACCACCAGTTACAATTTACGTAAGGGACTGAGGCTTTGAAAATAACTTCCCAAAGTTGGTGCTACACGAGTTGAGAAAAGATACGTCTATGACATTTGCATGGAATGTTAGGAATATATGCAGCTTGCACAAGAGCTCAATATTAAGTTTTAATGTTATTTAGTATTTCATGCTTTTTTGTTTTTGAGTTTTTAGCATATGTATCTTTTTTCCTGAATTCAACTTGTGGTAGAGCATTGCGATTGTGTAGAAAGGTAGAGTGCTAAACACTAAATAAGTGGAACTAAGATAATGTTCGTACATAAAAGCTGGATTTTTTTTATTTTTAAGTTTGTAGATGTTTGATGTTTCAAAGATGCCACTTATGAAGAAATATTGATCAGGTTAAGAATATAAATCTACCGAGGCTATCCATTTCAGTTCCAGGTATGTAAACACCAGCAGTCAACGGATCTATGATTATTTTTGCGTCGTCTTCATACTTTCAGAGAAAGAGGGACACAAACCTCTCCAAATTTCATTATGAATAAAATTGCAATAAAGCCTTACGAAATAATTTTAGTTTTTAAAAAATACCTGGGCTGTCGTTCTTTCACATGTCACCATTGCTATGCTTTGCATTTTAAATTATCTAAGTATACTACGTGGTAGAAAACACGGATGGGAAAAAGACAAGGTCAAGGGCAGATCATGTATCACCAACTGCCCCAATCGCCCACTTTGATTTGCATTTTAAAATTCTTTATCGGATTCCTTTGCAGTTCAAACAGACAGAAAAAGGCGGAGTTTCGGACCATAAGCTAAAGACTTTCTGCAAATATCTGAAGAAAAGTATCACGTTGAGATTCACATAATTTATCAGTCAACGTGTCAAACCATGCATACCAGACCGCGTTGAATGGCCTGAGAAATGGCAGCAAACTCTCAAAATCAAATTTTCTGACTACAGGTCTGGCGTCATCTTTCTATGTCTTTTTTGGCCACTTGAACTGACTCTTGACATGAGGACATCCATTTTTTTCTTGTTTTGCTGTAACACTGCGAGATACAAATCTGGAAGACATAGTCCTATTTCGTAGATATTTTTTTTTAATCTTCTGAACAGTATTATTACAAATGTTTGACTCAAATCATCTTTAAGAAATTACCGTGATCTTTAGCTAAACAGTCCAGCGTCTTGGCACCATTTTCGTCAATTAGAATGGTGACCGGATGAGTCAGTACAAGGATGCCCATGAAAAGTCACCTGTGACAACCTCCCAGATCCACGAAAACAACGTTGCCACACGAACGATATACGCATAAAATTTAACTATCGCAACCTCGTAAACGCCAATGTAGCGTCACGTGACGTGCACTCTACGCGCCACTCTCTGCTTTAGTTCACTGCCCATAGAGCGCTAAACGAAGCGTAGCTCGCGGAAATCAGTTTCACTCGTAGAGTTCGCTAAATAAAATAGAACTTCATTATATGGCCCGCACACTTGGTGCAAAAAGGTATGCACAATAATGAGTTAGTGGCGCCAGCTGATAACTCGCACTTCTGCCAGCCTTGGAATTTAGCAGATACACTGTGAAAGGTGAAGAGATCTTGCAGTGGCTATCATATCACCAGTGCGCGTGTCCCAGACGCTACCTTGTTAAAGTCGTTAAGAAAACAGGGTCAGCGTGTACAAATGTTAGCACAAAATCACGTCATCAATTTAAGATGAGGACATAATGGTAAAGCAAGTCTGATTTTGATTCATTTACACGTAAAGATATGTCACTATACTGGTGTTTCCGCATTAGCCCTCCTGACTCCGTCCCGCAGACCCCGTAGCCTGGATTCAGAGCCACGTCCTGGATCTTATCAACACAACGCCTTATATAGCTATGCTAGCCCGCAAAACAGAAAGGGTGGTATTATGCTGCAGAACACTTTGTAATGCATTTATTCCTACTTACCGCATTTAACAACGTCCCTATATATAAGACGAGGTCCTTAGTTCCATTTAACGCACGTTGATTTGTGGGCCCTAGCACCACACAGAGCTCGACGGTGAACTTATCTGGTAACTTGCTTTTATTGTTGCTTCTGCAAAATAAGGCGGAAAGTTTAAAAGCCCTTCCGCTATTGGGGAAAGGAGACAATGAAAGT